CAAATTTTTGTTTAGGAAAACTCAGCTATTCTCTCAGGCATAGCTCAGGTGTAAGGCAGCCTATTGCAAACTCTTTGGTATAGTAATTGAAAATTGTGTCACTGCATCTCCCTGTAGTATGGCTGTGCTTTTGTGACAAAAACAAGATTTGATTGTTTGTAGTGAATATGTTTTTTTCTTTATTTCATGTTTGAAGATAAACCAAACCTACAGAGGGTAATCATGATCACTTCTAATTATGGCTTGATGGTAGATTTTTTAAAATCATAGACTAGCTGAATGTAGTGACATTATAGTAGATCTTACTATAGTTGTAATAATCTAAAGCAAGAGGAGAGAGATTCAGATCACAAAGCATTATCACTGCTAACTTAGCTTTTCTGAGATCAGCCAAGGTTGGCTAAGCAAGGTTGGATATGATTAATACTTAGATGGGTGGTCACTAGCAAACTCCATAATTGTCAACTTCCATTTTCTTGATGAATGAGGCCACCTTCATGTAAGCTCAGCCTCAGATGTCCTAACAGAGCAACAATGAATGCTTGCAGCTCTTTAAATAATTACAACCTTCTGCCCAAGAAAAATATGTGAATAATTTTCTTCCTGACAAAAGAGTTTATTTTAAAAAAACTAGAATTTGTTACTTGCAACTCTGTGTTTTAAAGAAGTGTGGAGCTTTTGCTGAAATACACTGTCCTGACCACTGATGAGGAAAGCTTATTAGTACTGTCATTTTGCATATCTGAAGAGGACCTATGTAGGTTTTTCACTCCTGCTCTTGAATCCAGTTTAGTAGCTGCTGTAGGTGATGAATCCAGTGAGGCACTTCAGAAGTTGTTGGACTGCTATCCGGGATGGAATTATCAGTTTTTGGAATCCAGAATCCAACTGCCATCTGAAAAGAAAATTGTCAGATAACATTATTTACATGTTTTCTCTTTTAGAATGAGTCTGCACACTTTAAATGGAGACAGTATTAGCGAGGGCATAGCTGCTGAAAGCTGTGCGATTCTTTTCACACCAGCAGAGACCACAGGCAGGACTTCTATTCTTCGGCCATCGCAGAAAGAAAATGTGCCACCAAAGGGAATAGTGAAGCCTATGAAGGTATGTATTAATGTCTAGCAGAGCTCTTTTACCAGAAGCAAGGAAACAGAAGAAGGCATCTTCAGCTTTATAGCCAGATGTAGAACCCTGTATCCCAGAAGATTTGGCTGAGTGCCACTTTGTCAGAACACCTTAGCTGCATTTGCAAAAGCCACTAGTCTAGGCTCAAATAGGGTTGGGTAGTTTGTATTTCAGTGTGTTGTGTTAACCCAGCCATTGGCACCCTGTAGAAGACACATTTTATTTCTATTTACAGTGGAACCTTGGTTCACAAACTTAATTCGTTCCGCGACTCTGGTCGCAACCCGAATTGGTCGCAACCCGAAGCAAATTTTCCCATAAGGTTCAATG